GACTATCATATTATAAATACACACACATATAAAACAATCAAACTGGTACACGATATAAGCACGACTGCTCTTTCAATTGAGTATAAATGTTGATAAACTTACCCGGAAGCCAAGACATACACTTTTAGACGATGCTATTTTCAGTTCAGTGTAAGAGTAAATGCCCGGATATCGAGGCTTTTTCGTGTAAAGTTTTAACCAAGCATCTAAAATCGGCTTATATTGCGTGTAGAATTTATCGATATCAGGGCCGCTACATGCCAGTGTATAGCTAAGTCTGAATATTAAACTCCAGCCAAATAGAGCCACCACAATATTTCAACCTTTGTAACCCTTGCAAAAAGATTTTCTTGCAATAAAAAATGTGAAAATAGCTTAGGGTACTTGTAAGCCAATCTGATTTTAAGGTAGACATGTCTCGATATTTTTCAATAATTTTCATGATTATAAATACCGATAATCAATGAAAGGGACAATATTTCGACATTTGTAATTGTATGTGTATGCATGGTCCATGGTGTATGTTACCATAATTCTTTATATCCACTTAAAATGTCAAAAATATTGTCCAATTTATAATTATCAGATAATTTATTCATCACCAAAATTAGTAAAAATTATCAACATGCAGAACTACCTTAAAGAGTTTAATCTCTCACTCAGTCACAATCATGTCAACCAAAACTGTACTTGTGTTACATAATATAGGATTATACAGCTTACCATACGTGTGCAATCTATATAGCATCCACACTGACATCTTTACAGAATCATATATAATTTTTGAATATAAACTAACTCAACCCAATAAGGCGAGTACTAAAGAATTTACTTACCTGCCATCTAAATATCTGCTTGGAACTACCATTGGATTCCTCCAAGAGAATATTCTAGGGATTATGGAATGCATTCAGCTTACATAATTTGAGAAATTATTGGCATACGTAAAACCTATTTAAAACAGCATTTATCATATTCAAAAGCGTTGAGCATCAATGATTCCCAGCCCTCTGAAGTTTGAAAAATAAAAATACCTGGGTGTTAATCCATGGATTATCTTTGAAAACGAGAAATATATTTTTGGATTACATGGTGTAATCTTAAAGTAAACAAAATGTTTTAAAGTGTATTGATGTTTTTTGGATGAAAAACATAAGCGAAATTCATGAAAAAAATCCCCCGATTCATTCTACATACAACTCGCCCTCCTTTGCGAATCGTTCGTAACTTTACGAAAGTTTTGTTAATGCACATTTTTCCAAATTCGTAAAAATAACAATTGACTTGCGAATGCGTAACTTTACAAAAGTTCTGTAAATGACCTCCTGACTAACACAGTTGAATATGTCATTTTATATTAATCCTTCTACAAGAATGTGGTAAAATTCATAATGCTTTTTTCATTTCAAGAAGCTGAATTTTTCAGTTTGTCTGACATGTGAAATGTAGCAAAATTTGAAAATACCATTGTTGAAATTTTGCTTTTACTGCAAACAGATAGACCAAGTAATCTTTATTTGTTCAGATGTATATTTAAGGAATAAAGACTGGGATTCTAAGATTTATATGCAATAAATGTATGACCGATTATTTTTTCTGATCACTGTTAAAAGACCGAATGAAATTGCAGAGTGATTGATGTCTTTGCCAATGGACAGAAAATAAAATCGAAGGTACTATATTTGCCATAAATCTTAGAATCGAGATCTTTGTTACGATTCTAATATGAGCCTCAACATAGGAAAACTGGTCTTATCACAAAAATTATGCTAAAGAGCCAAAAATGTGCCCAAGATTAAAAGGAAAATGTGCTATATTCAAATCTGTCCTTTTGGTCTAGATCTATATCTGCAAGGCAAAATTGTTAAGACATGAGCCATGGTTCATTTGAATGATCACTTTGTGCTTTTTAAGATAACAAAAAAACAAATTATTGAAAAAAATCTGCGATAAGACCCCTTTTTGTGGCCTGGCTCATATGTTAAACAAAACTTTTTAGATGAATCAAATGTTCCACTTATACAGGTTTCATTGTACAATCGAACATGACTGTATTCACGCCTTATAAAAACTGTGAACAAAGTCAACATTTTACCTGGGGCATATTCGCAAACAATACCCCTGGTGATACGAGTAATGTGTGATGTAGCCAAGGGCCAAGGGCTATAGAAATGGCAGACCATAATGAATATTTTAAACATTTTGGAGAGTTTCCATGTTCCAATCGTAATATAGACCTCAGAGCAGGTGTAATATCGTCAAATACACCCCTTAGGGCAGCACAAAAGCTTTTGAACCCCTCACTCCCTTCGGTTTGTTTCTGGCTAGCACTGCGGGGTGTATTCGACAATATTACCCCTGCTTTTTTCGGTCTTTATTTAATTATTACATACCCAGAACAGAACACAATCTTAAACAATATATAAGCACGTGGGTAAAGGTGACCTGATGATACCATGAGCTTGCTCGGCGGTATCATGGTTGTCTCACGGGGCTTTATGTATTATTGAGCTCTGTGGTAGATTCAGCTCAAAAATGTGGATCCTCAAATGCTCAAGGTATCATCGTGTCTGCTATACCCCCATGTGTAAGTGTGTAGAAAATATGTTAGGTGCACATCACACTGTATGATAATTTGTACTTTTGTAGTTTGTAGTAGCTGTAGTTTGTGAAATGTGAATGCCTGCCAATCCAAACACTTTTGGCCAGTTCCAGTGGTGTTTAGATTAGACAGGTTTAACTGTTACTGTATAAAGAAATATTCTATAAAGGCAATATTGAATTTGGGATTTCTTTTCATTTTTGATATTTGGGGGAGGCATCAAAAGTTTGATGTTGGATCAAAAACTAAATAATTATGGTTAGGGGTTCAAAGCAATTTCAGTTTGCTATCCGACAAAACTCAACATTTTAAATTTTCCTATAGGGAACAGTGATCACAGTACAGTCCTGACTAATATAAATATATCCCCACATTTTAATAGTGAGCCAAGTAAGAAAAAGACCTGGCAATATAAAAACTGCAACTTAGATAATCTTAATAATCTCATTTTAAATCAAAACTGGCATGATATTATTGCGACGGGAACAGTTAATGCCTCAACTCAAGCTGTCACTAACAAACTGACATCTATTTTTAATGATAATATACCATTTAAAACTAAAATTTCAAAATCAAATGATATGCCATGGTTCGATAACGAAATTAAGATGGAGTTAAACAAAAGAGATAAATTATATAAAAAGTTCAAACGAAATAATACAGAAATAAATAAAACAAACTACAAGGACCAAGTAAAAATTGTAGAACAAAAGGTAAAATTACTTAAAGACAATTATGAAAATAAGATTTGTGATGACCTTCAATCCTTTTCTTCTGGCAGTAAATTTTATTGGCAAGCTATCAAAAAACTCCTTGGTACTAGATTCACTCCAAGCATTCCAACTTTGTTTAGCTCTGATCTGACACGAGTATTTTCAACCGACAAAGATAAGGCAACTGAATTGTTAAACCATTTTACCAGTAAATTCCACCACGATTTTGATTTTGACCAAAGGGACCTGCCTACTCTCCAAATGCGAACGAACAAAATTTTGACCAATATTTCAACAAACAGAGAGGAAGTTAGAACTCTCTTACTAGATCTCAACCCCTCCAAAAAGGAAGGACCCGATGGTATTACAAATAGGATGCTTCTTATGACAGCGTCGACGATTGATTTACCGCTATCATTGCTTTTTAATAGAATTTTAAACGAACAATGCTTTCCAGACATATGGAAACTCACCACTATATGTCCTATTTTCAAAAATAAAGGAGTACGTTCAGATAAAGCAAATTACCGTCCAGTTTCTTTATTAAATACAATATCCAAAGTATTTGAGAAAGTCATCCAAAATCGAATTTTGACCCATCTCCTTGAAAACAATTTACTTTATAATAACCAATCTGGTTTTTTACCCGGTCACAGCACCGACTTCCAACTTATAGCAATAACGAATTTTATTAATGAATCTTTTGACCGCAACTGTGACGTCAGAGGAATTTTCCTTGAGGTAGAATCTGCCTTCGACAAAGTCCCGCATGCCCTTTTGACTCATAAACTAAAATCATATGGTTTTGGTGCTGACACTTTGAATCTCATAAGCTCATATCTTAAAAATCGAAAAGTTCAAACTAGAGTAAACGGAATCTTATCAAATTTATCAGAAGACAATTACATAAACAGCGGGGTGCCTCAAGGGAGCCAAATTGGGCCGATCCTTTTCTTATTATACATAAATGATTTACCGGAAGTAATTGACTCAACATCTTACATCTATGCAGACGACACCTCCATTTATTTACGTGTAGAAGGGGAGTGGGTCACAATTCATAGACTACCAATGGTTTCAACCATTGCAACAGTAGTCAGCAAGTCTCTGTACCCCTCCCATTCTTGGAAGTGAGATGTGTAGAAGGGGAGTGGGTCACAATTCATACAGACTACCAATGGTTTCAATCATTGTAACAGTAGTCAGCAAGTCTCTGTACCCCTCCCATTCTTGGAAGTGAGATGTGTAGATTTTCACGAAAAAGTCTGCAACATTGAAGAATTGTTACTTGCTTAAAACTGTTTACCAATATAGCCCAAAATATGACGAAAATTGGTCCAATATACATCTTTTCTCAAAATATGACGAAATCTGGTCAACTAGGATGGATGGATGGATGGATGGATGGATGGATGGATGGATGAATGGATGGATGGTGAATGGATGGATGGATGGATGGTGGATGGATGGATGGATGGATGGATGGATGGTGGATGGATGGATGGATGGTGGATGGATGGATGGATGGATGGATGGTGGATGGATGGATGGTGGATGGATGGATGGATGGTGGATGGATGGATGGTGGATGGATGGATGGTGGATGGATGGTGGATGGATGGATGGATGGATGAATGGAAAGAAACCCATGAAAACATATTGTACTGTTTTTGTAAGGGACTTACCTGATTTGCAAATATCAAAGACAGGCTAGAATTATCACTAGGATCTTTGAAGACTTGACGAACCAGCTGTAACATTGGAGTAATACCAGTACCCCCAGCTATCATACCTGGAATACACAATATGCAATACTGGAGTGATACCAGTACCCCCAGCTATCATACCTGGAATACACAATATGAAAATACTGGAGTAATACTGGAGTAATACCAGTACCCCCAGCTCTCATACCTGGAATACACAATATGAAAATACTGGAGTAATACCAGTACCCCCAGCTAACATACCTGGAATACACAATATGCAATATTGGAGTGATACCAGTACCCCCAGCTATCATACCTGGAATACACAATATGAAAATACTGGAGTAATACCAGTACCCCCAGCTATCATACCTGGAATACACAATATGCAATATTGGAGTGATACCAGTACCCCCAGCTATCATACCTGGAATACACAATATGAAAATACTGGAGTAATACCAGTACCCCCAGCTCTCATACCTGGAATACACAATATGCAATATTGGAGTGATACCAGTACCCCAAGTTATCATACCTGGAATACACAATCAGTAACATTGGAGTAACACCAGTACCTAATCTATAGTTTCCATCTACTGTATTCAATTGTTGACCTCTCCAGAGGTCAACCGGCAAAATTGTATATCGAAACTGTAAACCGAGAAACTACTGTTGACAGAGAACGAAGGTCAACAGTAGTTTCAAGGTTTACAGTCGAGGTATATGATTTTGACGGTTGACCGAATGGAGAGGTCTACAATTGTTTTGTTAGTCTGAAGAAACTAATAATACACATATAGACGACAATCATCAATCGGCATGGCTTCATTTCACAATCTTTTCTCTGAACCACACTAGCAATGCATACTCATTAATAAATTAATTTTAATTTCATGTTTCTATTTGTATTTTTGCTCTACTTGTCGTCTAGTAAAGTCAAAATATTACTTCATCAACGTTTACAAAATGTCTGTCTACCATGTTTTTCCTGTAAACATTATGACGTCATTTATTTTTCAAAAATAGCGGTCAACAGTACGTAGTAGTGGTCAACAGTACATATTGTTGACCGCTAATACCTGTCAACTGGGAACAGTGTTTTAGGGCAATTTTTCAAAATTCACCTGTTCACAATTGGAACATGGGAAATTGGTTACACTGTACATTCTATTGTTTTTCAGAGGTGTGAATGGCTTAAGATAATATCTGATTCTAAGGAGCTTGGATTAATAATGGGCTCTTTGTTCTTTTTCTTGATACTACTGTACTAGGGGGGATACTTATCATATATTATGCAATGCACTTGCCCTAGGATAGTTCAAAAATGGGGTCTTAATTACCTCGATATTATGATCTGTTTGTTATTAATTGCCTTGGCACTAATGATACTAATGTAACTGACCAGTTGAGATAATCTAGGGATTGACACAATTGTTTTTTGGAGATAATAGAAAGTATTTGCGTCATGTTGAGTAGGGGTCAAACGGTTCAAAATTCCAACGGTTCGGTTCGGTCACGGTTTTTAGGTTCACGGTTCGGTTCTTTCACGGTTCTCGCGGGTCTCGTAAATTGGTAATATTTCCTTATAAAATTGTAAAGACAGCTCATAAAAAAACAGGTTTTAGCTTTCTTTCTAGCCTTGCCCAAGTTGGTCACTTTCTGGTCCCACTATCCTTTTTTATTAAATTGACTAGTGGCCCACTTTAAATTTTGAACTTTAGATTTTTCTGTCCTTGATAAGATTTCTGTCAGATAAGAGCTGAGATCTACATGTAGCACAAGCAGTAACATAGTTATTCAACTCATCTTTTTTATTAATACATTTTCCCGGACCTATGAGCAGTAACTTGAGGAAAAAATTTACTTCATGACCTCCCTACAGATTCTGTATTTTGATACATTGTCCTCTGATTTCCCATTTATGATAGGAAAACCCCCAAAATTCCAAATGTTGCTTTTGTATTTCAATAATTGAGATTTAATCTCGCAATTCTTGTAGTCTGTCAAAGCAGCTGAATCAGCTGCTTGATGGCGCTGCGATTGTGCGGGAGATTTAAACACAAATATGTTTCAAGTTTTTAATAAAGACATTAGTAATGTTATAATTTCTGTAATTGCAGTATTTTTTAAATAATATTGATTAAAAACTAACTCATTATAACAGACAAAACACCTCCACGAAGCAAAATTAATTGTACTATGAATAGCGTAATCTGGCGAGACCAACTTCCGGTCTATTTATATGTCACAAAAATGTAAACAATTTGTGAGCGATCTGTTTCATATCTAAGGTAAGAATTGAATGTTCTCTATTGCTATAAACATGTTTTTAAGGAATATATACATGAAGAAAAAGTTCATGTCCAATGAAAGAGAGAATATTGAAGTCTAAAAAATTTCATTTTTCAATTTTTCCTCGAACCGTTTAACCGTTTGACCCCTGATGTTGAGCCAAATCTCCTTAATTTTTTAAGATCCAAATTTGCAGATTATATAAATGCTATAAAATGGTTGGATGAAACCTAAATTTCAGTTCTAAGCAACTGCAGTAAGTAATCGCAGAATAAAATGCTCATAACAATATATATTGTATATGCTTATTCAGGATTTTTTGGATTGGCTCAAAGTATGGTACCTCTCTATATGGAACACCTGTCAATAAGGAAAAGTTTTGTCAAGTCAAAAGACTGTTCCTTGTTCACAGGTTTTATTGTACACTGCAAACAAGGACGAGTGACATACAAATCACTTCAAAGAATGGACATTATATTTAAAGAGGGTAAATACTTCACCTGTCTAAGTTGAACAACTTTGGTACCTCTAAAAAGTGTTTTACTTGGGAGGTGTTCAACTTATAGAGGTTAATTTATATTAAGTCAGTTGGTCTTGGACATTGTGTTCCACTATGTGTTCCACTTTTAGAGGTGTTCCACTTTACAGGTTTCACTGTAATTCATTGAAGACTGAGTGGGAGGCTTATTTGATATTATTATCTATGTGTTTGCCTTTTTCTTCAAAAGTAAAAATTAGACCTTAAAGGTTAACCAACCTATATTTTTCGCAGTGTATTTCTCTGGTTTGGATTTCTTGTCTTCTTTAATGCTAAATGCGCCTTGACCATCATAGACGAGGAGTCCATTGGGGCCCCTTACATCAATGTAATCTCCTATCTCCATCTTTTCCAGAAACTGTGTCATCTTACCACCAGCTGGGAATTTAGGATGAACATCTTTGAAGTAAACCTGAAATAAAATCATTGTCCTTTTACTCTGTATCTCGATCATTTGGCCATAATGTATGTCTGTAAAATACTGATATCTTTATTTTCCTAAACTCCTCTACAGGGTGTCAAATAAATATGTTCTCCCCCTTAATTTCAAAAGTATGAACTTTTGTGCATAAATGTGCATCTAGTTGAGTTAGTCATCTGAAATTCTTCTACAGGGTGTCAAATAAATATGTTCTCCCCCTTAATTTCAAAAGTATAAACTTTTGTGCATAAGCGTGTATCTAGTTGAGCTAGTCATCTGAAATTCCTATACAGGGTGTCAAATGAATATGTTCTCCCCCTTAATTTCAAAAGTATAAACTTTTGTGCATAAGCGTGTATAAGCTAGTCATCTGAAACTTCTTGTGGAGTTGCTGAAGCCTAGTTTCAATGTGCCAAAGAACAATTCAGATATCATGCAGACAAAAAAGTTGTGCAACATTATGTGGGTGTTATAAACTGAAAAAAAATTTGGCCATATTATTTTCTACCTTCTATAGTGAGTCTTTAGCAATGTTAAATAACTTCATCAAAAAATGAAATCTAATGAAACTATTGGTGTACATTTCTATATGTGGTACTCTCTCTAATTTTACTTTCAAATCATATTAATCGATTTCAAAGAGCTACTTTACCTTAAAACTTGGTAGATGAGTGAAGACTTTAAGGGATATACTTTAAATTCAAACACTAGCTACGTACATGATGTCAATGGTCACTTTTTAAAATTGTTTATGTTAAAAAATGTGATAAAAATCTTGGTTGAAGAAGTTTCATGATCCATATCTATAAGATGACGGGTATTTGTATTCGTTACCTTTACAACGAGGTCCATGTACCCAACATCATCATCACTGGTCACTGGTGTGTAAGGACGGATCACTAACTGACCATCGACTCTAGCAGTTAGATAGATATGCTGCCCTGAAACAGAATTAAATAGGAAGTTATTTCATACATGTTCTTCCAATTTATTGATTTTAATATGCTTTGTATCTTTTCACATTGTACATCTTCAAAAATTGTAAATATGATTATGATATAAATGCTGTCTTATTAACAGACAGCAGACATGAAAATGTAGTTATTGTGCATTTCTGTTAAACTAGTACTGTAGTGTAAATATTGTATTTTCTGTTAAAAGTATGCAATAAATTAAATTGGATTGATTGTTGTATTTTTAATAAAAGTTTTTCTCAAAAAAAATTCAAATTTCTCGTTGAATTATAATTGATTGGATCTGGACAAAGGGGTTTCACATAAACTTCACTTACCAACTGGGAGTCCAAGGATGTGGTTCACAGAAGGGAGAGCGAAACGGAATCTTCGTGTGTCATGGCTTATAACCTAAAGTGAAGAAATGGAGCAATGAAATGCTGTAGACAATAAGCAAAAGTTGCATTTAATAAACAACTCGGTTTCTTTAATATCGAGGTCTTTATCTCAGTAAACCTGGGTTGAAATACATGTGTGTTCTAAATTCATGTTTAATTGTTTTAAAGAACCATCAAATCCTGCATGCATACATCTTTGTAAAAATCATTTAACATACAATCCCAATGTTAATAATCACATGACTAAACAATTTCAAAAATGTCTACTGTAAAAAAATGTGAAAAATTTAGAAAAATGTGATTGGATATTTGGTTGTTCATGTAAAACATCTGATAAAGGCACTAATACGAGGTGCACACTGCCACATGCTTAGTGTCAGGTACAAATGGATTTCTCTGGAATGTAATAGCATGAAAACACTATAACTATAGTGTCCCATCAATGTAAATATGTGTCTCAAAAAATGTACCCAAAAGTATATCAACAACACAGATAAACCAATCAATATTTTCAGACATTTTTTGCATGGTCACTGTTTCGGAACACTCCGTTAAAGTAACTAGTTGTGGAACAATGACCATGCAAAAAATGTCTGAAAATATTGATTGGTTTGTCTATGTTGTTGATATACTTTTGGGTACAATTTTTGAGACACCCTATATATGCACACGTGCCAAAGGGAAAGGACCAAAAATTGTAACAGAGCACAGCAGAAAAAAAGAAAACATACGAGTACATCAGTCATAAGGATCGAACACCCTCAGGCCCATCTATCTCAAACCATATTCGAAAGTATTCAAAAGTATCACAATGGGGTCTAAGTTTGTACATACCTCTCTATCAATGAGCTTGAGAGAGTATTTAACATTGGGGTCTTGTAAGGTCACTGGGTGCTTGCTCTTTGACTTCTTTTTGGAAAACAGAAACATCTTGGCCAGGACGGCAGTGACAGCAACAGCTGCTACACCTACGAGGATTGGTATTGCCTGAAATAGCAAATTCATAATGTGATAGTAATAAACGTGTGGCATTACCTTTCTCACATAACAAATAAAAACAAGTTGTTGATCAAGATGGTGAGTTATTTTGTTTATTCACAGGTATGAATTATTGTTTATTTGCCTACTGCAATTTAAACACAGGACCTTTAGGCCTATGCTAATATCCACAGCGATATGCATAATAAGAATGGAACACCAACATGATTATTGACTATTAATAGTCAATAAAACCTTAGAACTGGGCTATAATATCATGAGATGAGCAGGCCTGTAGCCAGGAGGGGTTCGCAGGGTTCGGGCGAACCCCCCCCCTGGCCAAAAATTCTTTCAAAATCATGCAGTTTTTCACCATTTTGAGCACTTCTCAAGTGATTTTAGCCATATTTGGGCCAAAATTGTCAAATGTGAACCCCCCCTGGAAATTTTTGAAAAATGAACCCCACCTTGGCAAATCCTGGCTACGGGCCTGATGAGGATAGCTTTTTGTTCCAAATCCAAAATCTAAAGTATGTCACGTTTTTCCCATTTTATTGCATGAGTCTCTTGAAAGCCCATGATATTACAGGAGATGTAGAACTTGTTCAAAGGTGGAACAAAAATCTACTTTGGGAGACTTCAAATTCTAGTAACCAAAATCAGGCTGAAAACAATAGATAGCATGAGTTTTTCTAATGAGAAAATAACATGGGATAATTGTATTGTTTTCATCTTTATCACAGTGCAACACCACTCCACCTCGCAGAAATTACTGATAAAGTGCAGAATTACTTTTGATGGTAAAAATGAGAGAGGGAATGTCCTCCTTTTAAGTAGAAAATGAGTATAATGTATTGCTTGTGTCACATGTGGTCTTACCGTGGTTTAAAGAGTTGGATTGATATTTTCTTATCCTGGTTACTTTAGTTTGAAGAGAATTATCATAAAGATACTACATGTATTGGAAGGAAAACATTTTTGAAAAAATTGCTATGCCCGCACATGTTATTTTCCGGTACAAAATAAATTAAAGTATGAAGGCATTGTCTTCTTTTACAATATCTGGTGAGAGATCAATGGCAATCCAGTGTTGTTGAGAAACTTGGAGAAGAAATTTGGAAAATTGAAAAGGCAGCCATTTTTTAAATATCAGCATTTTCTGGAGTTACCAGGTGACCTCTAACTCAAAGAAGACAATGTTATTGTTATGATTGTTTCCTGAAAAATGCAAGGAAATACACAAATGTCTTCATACTTTATTTTGTACCAGAAAATAACATGTGCAGGTTCAGCAATTTTTTCAACCAGAACAACGGCAACGCCAAAGCGTAGTGAATCCCATCGAACAGAAATGACTGGCATTTTTACAAACAAAATATATAGCAAATATCGTAAAATAACACACATAAGAAAGGTATTCACATACCAAATATGAACAAAATCACTCCACTACTTTTCAAGTTACAGCAAAAATCGTTAAATAGCGAGTAAAGGCCGAGTAAATTACGTTTAAATGGTGGCCATTTTTCAAAATGGCCGCCTTCTACCAAAAGTGTCATTAGACAGGGTACCATGCTTATAGTATTCACATACCAAATATGAACAAAATCGCTCCACTACTTTTCGAGTTATAGGAAAATAAGTTAAAATGGCGACCATTTTTCAAAATGGCTGCCTTCTACCAAAAGTGTCATTAGACAGTGTGCCATGCTTATAGTATTCACATACCAAATATGAACAAAATCGATCCACTACTTCTTGAGTTACAGCTAAAATCGTAAAATAACGAGTAAAGGTCGCCATTTTTCAAGATGGCTGCCATGTGCTTCTTTAATATCTACATTTTTAGCTTTATCAAAGTTCTGTAATATAATTTTTTTATATTTAAAACATATTGCTATTACAGTTTTACATATTTTGCACCTAAATTACTGTAAAATCGGCACTAAAATGGCCGCCATTTTTAAATAAGCGGCCATTTTGAAAATCGGCTTTCGAGCAGAACTTCTACCTCCATAGGGTATATGTGTACAAAATATGAACAAAATCAGGCCAACGGTATTTGAGTTATTGCCCGGACGGACAGACGGACGGACTTACGTACGGACGTACATACGGACGGATGGACGGACGGAGGCGTTCCCTATATCCCTCTGAACTTCGTTCGATGGGATAAAGATGTTTTCCTTTCACCAGTACCTTAAATGAAGTTCTGATTTTTGGTCAAAATTTGTCATGGTCCAATATATCTGTCTTAAAGCATCAGTCCCTTTAATAGAGTGCCTTTGATTAGAGTTTTTTTCGAGAGCTTTCTAAACTAACCTACTTCTAGTGACTGTATAGGTAAAAGTTGTTCAAGCAACCTACACATGTAGGTAGACTGGTAGGTCAACTAGACACAGGCAATAAAACATTACTGTGTCACCTCTAAATCTGATAAGTGCAAGGGGTAGTTTAGAGAATACAGACTCTAGTATTAAATAGGAGTAAAGATAAATATTGAAGCTTGTCAATGTAGCCATTTTTCATCAATCCAACTGAATGCGAAAGGGGACACATTTTATAAAACCAGAACAGTTCAACCCCCTGGCCTCAATTAGCTTGTTGTGCTATAAAACATCACAGTCCCATGATCTATAGTATCTTAAGGGCTATATTGACCGATGTACAATATAATATTATATAAATATATGTACACTACTACAGTATACTAGTACAGTATATACAGGATTATAACTAAATGATAAAATGATATAATATTAATGTTCTTACTATTACATGTATGAAGAGTTGATACACCTGTTACTCTGGAATCATTCAATACATGGATTTTTGATTGTACAGGGTTTTAACTTACTCACTTCGAGAGCCATGTTAGATTTTGAAACTTATGGCTCTCAAACGGGGAAGTGAACAGCTGATTAATAGTGACCTTTGAAATCGAATTAAGTCGATCCGCGACTTACTTTTGGTCTCTAACTGTGTCTTACATCAGTATCATCAATCCGTGTAAGTATTGAAGCGCTGAAGTACTTCCTTTTCGATCAAGACTTGTAATTGTTAGTCGAGTGAATATTTTAACTGCCAAATTCCAATATGGCGTTTTCTGCTCGGACATTTTCATAAATCTCCGAAGGTTGTCCGAACCTAACTAATTCTAAAAATTCATTTCGTTCGTTGCGTATCTCGCTCCTAGCAAACCGCCATATTGGAAATAGGTCTAAAAAACATTCACTCGATGAACAATTTACA